TCATCAAAGTAAATAGGCCCCAAACACCAGCCCACTGACCCATAACATTCATCCATACTGGTCTTGAAGTAAATATATCCTTCCAAGGTGTAGGAATTCTATGTGTTGTTGTCTGCTGAACACTAGAACCCAAAGCTTTTTCAATATAATTCAATTCAGCTTTTGTAATACGTGGATGTTGTTCAGGACTATCATAGACTAAGGTTAACCAACCAAACCACCATAAAGTGCCAACAATACCACAAATATAATAAACCCATTGCCAGGACATGTAATGCATAATGTAAGCAAATATTGGATAAGATAAAGCGACTCCAATGGAACTGCCAAAATAGGCAGTAACAAATTTACTACGCTCATTTGGTGGTATCCATTTGGCAATGAGTACATGCATGGCAGGCCAAGTTAAACCCTGGAAATATTGAATTTTTATTAAATAATATCCTTAAAACATTTCCGTATGAACTACTAACCGCTATGGCACCCTGTATGATTCTAAGTATTATGAGAATTTTAAAGTTGCTATATGCGGCCATTGGTATAAAGAAACACATCCAACAACAGATAACATTAGAGAGACCAAAGACCAATTTGGTGCCATATTTTTTAGCCAATATACCACCAGGCAATTGTGTTAACCAGTGTAACCAATAAAATGAACCCAATATCAAACCTTGCTGATATTCATTCCAGGGAAATTTTTCCGATGACTGTTTAAACTGAAAGTGAAATGAGTTTTAAATTTATTTAAAAAAAAGTCTTGAGATGTTAAAGTTAAATGACATTTGATTTTAACAAGACATTCGCAAGAGCAAGGACAGTGATCTTTACTAATTAAGATATTTTTATTTACTTAAACACTCGTTTTAATAATATAAAAAGTGAATGTACTTAAAGGTGACTGCTTTATACAATAAAGTTACAACACACATAATTGTTTTTTTTTATCATTAAACTGATTTTCGGATCTGCCTTAAATTATAATATATTTTATTATATTTTTATATGATTTATTTAAAATAAATGATAAAGCGTGCCTGTCTAATGATAAAAATTCATTGTTTAATTGTGATAAATATTTGCTTTTATAATTTGTGATACCAGCTGATGAAATGTTTAATAAATAATGTCTAATAAATATTTGTTGTTTGATATATAAAACGACTTATACTATTTATAATATAGATAATAAATTTCCAAAAAAAAGTTGATCAGATTGAGTCAACTTTTTCTATTGAAACAAAATTTCAGACTGAGTAACATTCTCTATAAAAAGTTGTTCAGACTGAGACCACTATTTATATAAGAAAAAGTTGTTCAAACAAGGACAACTTCCATCATTAAGTTGCTTTAAGCGAGTAGTTTTCTATGAAAGAGTTTTCTATCAAAAACAAGGGCAACTTCCATCATAAAGTTGCTTTAAGCGAGTAGTTTTCTATGAAAGAGTTTTCTATCAAAAAGTTGCTTACACTGAGATAACGTTTCCTATAAAAATGTTGCTTGGATTGAGACAACTTTTTGTCTTAAAAAGTTGCTTGTACTAAGACAACCATTTCTATTAAAAAGTTGTTCAGACTGAGATAATGTTTTCTATAAAAAAGTTTCTTAAACCGAGACAACCTTTTGTATTAACAAGTTAATCTTACTGAGACACCTCTTTTCTATCAGAAAGTTGCTTAAACTAAGACAACTTATTCGATACAAAAGTTGTCATAGTTTAAGAGAACTTTTTCTATTGAAAATATTTTTCAGACTGAGATAACATTATCTTTAAAAAGTTGTTCAGACTGAGACCACTCTTTCTCTATAAAAAAAAAAATTGCTCAGACTGGACAACTTTCACCATAAAGTTGCTTAAAGCGAGTGTTATTCTACGAAAGTTGCTCAGACTGAAGCAAATTTTTCTATTAAAAAGTTGCTTGGACTAAGGCAACTTTTTCTATTAAAAATTTGTTCAGACTGAGATAATGTTTTCTATAAAAAAGTTGCTCGAACTGACATAACATTTTCTATTAAAAAGTTGCTTGGACTAAGACCATTTTTAGTAAAAAGTTAATCTGACTGAGACACCTCTTTTCTATCAAAAAGTTGCTCAAACTAATAACAACTTATTCAATAACAAAGTTGTTTCCTAAAAAAGTTGCTCAGACTGCAACAATGTTTTTTATTAAAAAGTTGCTCATACTAACACAACTTTTTTATTAAAAAAATGATCAGACTGAGATAACATTTACTTTTAAAATGTGCCTCGGACTAAAACAACTCTTTCTGTCAAAAAGTTGCTCATACTGAAGCAACATTTTCTATTAAAAAGTTGTTCGGATTAAAAAAAAAAACATTTTCTGTCAAAAAAATGTTGCTAACATAACATTTTCTATAAAAACAAGTAAGAAAGTATAGGCAGGCGTGGCCGACCATATGATACCCTACACCAGTTATGAATATTAAATGTTATTTATTTTTCATAATAAAGCATTTATCTTCAATATTCCCTTGTTCCGATATATTTAAGCAATTTATGGATGAAAAATTAATTTTCTGAAAGAGGCTTTATATGGGGGCTAGGGGTGAATATGGACTAAGCCCGATAACATTTTGTGAATATATTTATATTTACATAATATTTTATTTTGCTGAATTTCATCGCGATATTTGCGTTTATAAGTTAATTTTGGACATTCAAGTAGTTCTCTAAAGGGGACTTTGTATGGGAGCTAGGGTCAAATGGGGCCCGATCTTTATGAAATTTGGCAGGGTCATCAGGACTTCTATAAAACTTAGTTGTGCCGCATTTTATCGATATACCTGTATATTTAACATAATTATGAGCTCAGAAGCCCTTTTCGGGGGGTTCTGTTCTATGGGGGCTAGGTGAAATAATGGACCGATTTTAACCATTTTCAATAGACTTCGTCCTTGGGCCAAAAGCGTGCATGCCAAATTTCATCCAATTATCTTGATAATTGCAACCTGTACCTTGCGCACAAGGTTTACATGGACAGCCAGATGGACGGACGGACGGACGGACGGACATAGCTTAATCGACTGAGAAAACGATTCTAAGCCGATTGGTATACTTTAAGGTGGGTATAGGACGAATATTTTTGTATGTTACAAACATCAGCACAAACCCAATATACCCTCCCCACTAAAGTTGTGTACAGTATAAAAATTTGCTCTGATCACATTTTAATCTTTATTTCTTTACCATAACCTACCTTTGTTTCAATTGCTGTTGAATTTAAGTCAATTGATCTCTTTGAAATTTCCGATAATGATAATTGTTTTTGGGGTTCTGATGTAGCAGCATTCTTTGTAATAACCATATCAACAATTGTCAAATTAAGATTAATACAAAACATATAATTTATGACAAAACCCCAAAACACTAAATGCCATAATATTGTACGAGTTTTTACTAAAAGTAAAATTTAAAATTTATATCACTAACACAACATTTTAAAGAAAATTTCCATTGATAGGAAATTTTTACCTTTCTTCATTTTTTTTTAAATTTTTTTCAACTGTGAATGACTTGCTATTTTTAAAAAATTATTATTTAGAACACGATTGTTTTTTTTTTTCAATTTATTGAGATCATGTATTAGAATTATTCACACGATGTATTTTTAATTTTCTTAATTTTTTTATTTATTTTTTTAACAAAAATTAGGTTCTGTTTACATCTTTACACTTTGAAGTTCAAAATTAATATGCGATTAAAATTTTTTGTTGTTTTTTTGTTTTAAATAAAAACACACATTAATTTTGCTTTTTAAATGATTAGAATTAACAAAGAAATTATAAATGATAAGATTTTTAATATATTTTAATCGTGGGACAATTTAATAATATTGTGCACTACATAAACAGTATTTAAGATAATGTATTATTTATTTTTGAATGATATATAATATAAATTCCAATCCGTGGGGTCGGCCGACATGCCATAATGTTTGTGAACATGATGTTAATAGAAAAGAGTTTTTTTTTAGAAAAACAAAGAGAACTTTTTCTATATAAAAGATTCTCTCAAAGAGTCAAATCTTTCTATATAAAAATGAGACAACTTTTTTATGGAAAGATACTCTCAAAGAGATACATTTTTCTCTATAGAAGATGCTCTTAAAGAGATAATTTTTTCCTATAGAAAAGTTGTACTCAAAGAGGTAAACTTTTCTATTAGAAAGTTGCTCTCAAAGATGTAACTTTTTCTATAGGAAAGTTGCTCTCACAGAAGTTGCTCTCAAAGGTGCAATTTTTTCTATAGAAAAGTTGCTCTCTAAGATACAACTTTTTCTGCGGAAAAGTTTCTATTAGAAAATTGCTCTCAAAGATGTAACTTTTTCTATAGGAAAGTTGCTCTCACAGAAGTTGCTCTCAAAGAGTCAACTTTTTCTATAGAAAAGTTGCTCTCTAAGATACAACTTTTTCTGTGGAAAAGAGCGTCAACTTTTTCTATAGAAAAGTTGGTCTCAATGAGATCAAATTTTGTATAGTTGCTTTCAAAGAGACCAAATTCTCCCAAGAAATGTTGCTCTTAAAGAGAAAAAACTTTTTATGGAAAAGTTGATCTTAAAATAGCGAAACGCAGTGAGCTCTCAAATGAGCTCTCTTGTATTCTTTCTTTCACGCGTACGTATACTCACTCACACATGTATAAAAGACAAGCAAAATCAGTCAGAGAACTAATTTTTTACTCTCTGCCTTTCGCTGTCTTAAAAGATCAAAGTTTTTATAAAAAAGTTGCTCTTAAAGAAACAAAATTTTGTATAGAACATTTGAGACCAATTTTTCTGTAGCAAAACTATATATATTTTTTTATATTTAGAATGATTTAGTACTAATGCAGTTTATAGATTACCAAATACTATAAAGTTTTTATCACCTGGCAGCAATTTGTTTGAAAGTTTAGTTGTCATTTTTATCATCACACATTCATAAATTTTATTATACTTATAACTCAAATAAGTTTTTCTTAAAAAATCTTACTAAACACATCACGTTTTTTTTAATAAATACTGCAATTTTAACGAAATATAAAAGTTAATTTTAAACAAAGCCTCTCTTTAAATCAAGTACTATATGAATTTTCTCGTAATTCCTCATTCTTTTCCATCAGTTGTATGTCCTTTACAGCATTATATTGAGAATAATTATTCCATTTCTGTAAAGACGAATCAGCAAAGAGAACATAAAGAACGCCACAGCCAATTAGCATAAAAGCACAAATGAGAAAAACATTGGTCCAGGCTTCAAAAGTTTGCTAAAATATTAAGTTTTTAAGTAAACATTTCTAAGCTACTTAATCTTAACAGTTACACTTACATTATCCAATGTTAAAACCCCTACTATATAGGCCGATATGAACCCCGGTAAACAAGCTATGGTACCACATAGACCAAAGATTATACCAGCATAATTGGGTGCTATATCGATCATAGAAGACATGGGTCCTGTAGAAGAAGTACCTTGTAACATGGTGGCCAATGATAATAATACTACAGCCCATATGGGATTACGTCCTAAATAAGCCAAAGCCAATATCACTAGACCCATTACAACTGTGCCTTTAAATAATTTTTCTTTTTCTTTAAAAAAAAAGATTTCACATTTTTATAATTTTGATTTTAACTTACATATGGCTGTGGCAAATTTTCTCAAATTAGTTTGTTCCATTTTATTAGTTCTTAACAAATAATCGGCATATAAAGAAAATATATAGGCGAAAAACATTCGTAAAATATGAGGTATTCCCGATAATATGCCAATCTGAAAAAATAAACAATTTCCTGAAATCCTTTCTTCATCTGTATGGATCAGAATCAAAAGTACTGATTCTGTCTCATACCATTTATCATTAGTAACCTTACCGCTCTTATATCCCAATTATGTATAACTTTAAAATAGGTCGGTGACTGAGTCATCAGTGTAAATAGGCCCCAAATATTAGCCCACTGACCAATTACATTCATCCATACAGGTCTTGAGGTTAATATTTCTTTCCAGGGTGTACGCACACTCTCACATTCTTGTTGAACACTAGAACCCAAAGCCTTTTCTATATATCTTAATTCTGATATCGAAATACGTGGATGTTGAGCTGGACTATCATAGACCAAAACCAACCATAATAGCCACCATAAAGTACCGAAAATACCACAAAACAAATATACCCATTTCCAGGACATATAATGCATCATATAGGCAAAGAGTGGATATGAAAATGCCACGCCTATAGAACTACCAAAATAGGCCGTAACAAATTTACTACGCTCATCGGGTGGTATCCATTTGGCAATGAGTACATGCATGGCCGGCCAAGTTAATCCCTGGATAAATAATAAATAAAAATATGTCATATAATATCATACATATTTATGTTTTAACGTTAAACTTTAACCTACTGCTATTGCTCCCTGTATGGTTCTTAGCACTATAAGAGCTGTAACACTGTAACTTGGCGGTCATTGGTATAAAGAAACACATCCAGCAACAGATAACATTGGAGAGACCAAACACAAATTTTAGTACCATATTTTTAGCCAATATACCACCAGGCATTGTGTTAACCAATGTAACCAATAAAATGAACCCAATATCAAGCCCTGTTGATATTGATCCCACTCAAATTTGTGGAATTCATTATCATTGAACTAAAAGAGAAAATTAATTCTGTTTCTTTTAGAGCATCATCTTTATAGAAAAACGTTCAGTCTAGTTTAGATCTAGGTAAGTTCTAGTTCATTTCTAGTTCAGTTCTATTCAGTTCTATTTCAGTTCTAGTTCAGTTCTAGTTCAGTTCTAGTTCAGTTCTAGTTCAGGTTCTATTTCAGTTCTAGTTCAGTTCTAGTTCAGTTCTAGTTCAGTTCTATTCAGTTCTAGTTCAGTTCTAGTCAGTTCTAGTTCAGTTCTAGTTCAGTTCTGTTCAGTTCTATTTCCGTTCTAGTTCAGTTCTAGTTCAGTTCTAGTCAGTTCAGTTCAGTTCTAGTAGTCCAGTTCTAGTTCAGTTCTAGTTCAGTTCTAGTTCAGTTCTAGTTTCAGTTCTAGTTCAGTTCTAGTTCAGTTCTAGTTCAGTTCTAGTTCAGTTCTAGTTCAGTTCTAGTTCAGTTCTAGTTCAGTTCTAGTTCAGTTCTAGTCGTTCTAGTTCAGTTTCTAGTTCAGTTCTAGTTCCAGTTCTAGTTCAGTTCTAGTTCAGTTGTTCTAGTTCAGTTCTAGTTCAGTTCTAGTTCAGTTCTAGTTCAGTTCTAGTTCAGTTCTAGTTCAGTTCTAGTTCAGTTCTAGTTCAGTTCTAGTTCAGTTCTAGTTCAGTTCTAGTTCAGTTCTAGTTCAGTTCTAGTTCAGTTCTAGTTCAGTTCTAGTTCAGTTCTAGTTCAGTTCTAGTTCAGTTCTAGTTCAGTTCTAGTTCAGTTCTAGTCAGTTCTAGTTCAGTTCTAGTTCAGTTCTAGTTCAGTTCTAGTTCAGTTCTAGTTCAGTTCTAGTTCAGTTCTAGTTCAGTTCTAGTTCAGTTCTAGTTCAGTTCTAGTTCAGTTCTAGTTCAGTTCTAGTTCAGTTCTAGTTCAGTTCTAGTTCAGTTCTAGTTAGTTCAGTTCTAGTTCAGTTCTAGTTCAGTTCTAGTTCAGTTCTAGTTCAGTTCTAGTTCAGTTCTAGTTCAGTTCTAGTTCAGTTCTAGTTCAGTTCTAGTTCAGTTCTAGTTCAGTTCTAGTTCTAGTTCAGTTCTAGTTCAGTTCTAGTTCAGTTCTAGTTCAGTTCTAGTTCAGTTCTAGTTCAGTTCTAGTTCAGTTCTAGTTCAGTTCTAGTTCAGTTCTAGTTCAGTTCTAGTTCAGTTCTAGTTCAGTTCTAGTTCAGTTCTAGTTCAGTTCTAGTTCAGTTCTAGTTCAGTTCTAGTTCAGTTCTAGTTCAGTTCTAGTTCAGTTCTAGTTCAGTTCTAGTTCAGTTCTAGTTCAGTTCTAGTTCAGTTCTAGTTCAGTTCTAGTTCAGTTCTAGTTCAGTTCTAGTTCAGTTCTAGTTCAGTTCTAGTTCAGTTCTAGTTCAGTTCTAGTTCAGTTCTAGTTCAGTTCTAGTTCAGTTCTAGTTCATTTCTAGTTCAGTTCTAGTTCGTTCTAGTTCAGTCTAGTTCAGTTCTAGTTCAGTTCTAGTTCAGTTTCTAGTTCAGTTCTAGTTCAGTTCTAGTTCAGTTCTAGTTCAGTTCTAGTTCAGTTCTAGTTCAGTTCTAGTTCAGTTCTAGTCAGTTCTAGTTCCAGTTCTAGTTCAGTTCTAGTTCAGTTCTAGTTCAGTTCTAGTTCAGTTCTAGTTCAGTTCTAGTTCAGTTCTAGTTCAGTTCTAGTTCAGTTCTAGTTCAGTTCTAGTTCAGTTCTAGTTCAGTTCTAGTTCAGTTCTAGTTCAGTTCTAGTTCAGTTCTAGTTCAGTTCTAGTTCAGTTCTAGTTCAGTTCTAGTTCAGTTCTAGTTCAGTTCTAGTTCAGTTCTAGTTCAGTTCAGTTCTAGTTCAGTTCTAGTTCAGTTCTAGTTCAGTTTCTAGTTCAGTTCTAGTTCAGTTCTAGTTCAGGTTCTAGTTCAGTTCTAGTTCAGTTCTAGTTCAGTTCTAGTTCAGTTCTAGTTCAGTTCTAGTTCAGTCTAGTTCTAGTTCAGTTCTAGTTTAGTTCTAGTTTTTAGTTCTAGTTTATTTCTAGTTTAGTTCTAGTTCATTCTCGTTCAATCCTATAATTACTTTCTTACCTCTGTTTTCAATAGTTGTTGTACTGATTTCAGTTGTTGTATTTGTAATATCCGATATTAGTTGTTGAGTATTTGCTGTTGTTGTTGTTCGGTTTTATAACAACCATATCAACAATTGTTATATTTAGATTAATGCAAAATATATAATTTATAACAAATCCCCAAAAGACCATGTGCCATAATATTGTACGACATTTTACTAAAAGAAAACAGTTTTTTTGAACATTAATATAATGTTGATATAATAACAAAACATTGTTATTGATAAGATATGTTTACCATTCATTTTTATTTTTTAACTTGCAAAAATCTTAAAATATATTTAAAAATGTTTTTTTAGAATTTTCAAATATTTATTTCTTATTTTTTAGATTCTTTTTGATCGTTAAGTAGCAATGGTTCACATCTTCACTGTTTGAAAGTTAAAGTTATTATGCATCTAAAATTGGTTATTGATTTCCAGGTAAATATAAAATGTCTTTTTATAATAATGATAAGCAGCGTATTTTTATAATTATTTTATTACCTTAAACAAACTTTTAATCAAATGGGAACTTATTTATAATTTTGATCATAAACCACTTCGACTATTGTTTGCCAACAATTATAATAGTTTTTTTTTTTTTGAATAAGCAAATTTTAAGAGTTACTGATATCTTAAATATGTCAGATAATAATTAAAAAATTAGCTCCCCTGAGAGCAATTTGTATTGAAAAAAGATAAGTTGAAAAAATATTGAAAACGTGTAAATCTGTTCTAGCTCGGTAATTGAATAAATTAAAAAATGTGATCACTGCAATTCCAAATATATCGTTAATTATATGTAGTACCTATATATAGACGTCCATTAAATAACGTTTTTATATCAAAATACTAATACCAGCGATCAATTAAGAATGTAATGACAATATACATATGGTCATTTGATTTCATACTCATCATCTGTGATCACTCTTGTAAATCTTAAAATTGTTTATCTCTCCTTAATGGGTTAAATTTTTCTACCATTAAAATGTTATTTTGTAGTAAGCATTTTAAAATTGCATTGGTCAGGCTTTATCATTTTCTACGGACCTAATTAATGATATATTTACATTGCGAGAATAAAACTCTCCTACGACTTTTTTATTTTGCCCCCATATCCAATGGAATTCTTGAGCGGCAATAAACCCGAAACTCAAACATAAACAACAACAATTACAATTGTCTTGGGTACTAGACCGACCAAACCAATGAATTATGGAAAGCTAATGGTAAACGTAGCAAAGGGACTGTCATCAAGCACCACAAACACCACGTATGGCGATGGTACTACGAATGCGGACATGAAGAAGAACTACAGAAAAAATAACGAACCAGGAAAAAAAACCCATAAAAACACAAAATCTTAACAATATTGTAAGATGATGGCAGGCCATATTAAAAAAAAACTCAAAATGGAAAGAAAAGGAAAAAGGTAGAGAAAAAACCTATGAAAAACATTGTAAATTCGCACAAATTGACGGCAACATACCTTTAATGTTGCTGAGTTTGTGTTTGAACTTGATATGCCATAAACGCAAAAGTTTTATGGATGTTAACCGAACCAAACGTAACGAAATGTACTTGGCAATTGGTAATGAATGTGGTATAGTTGTCAACAGCATGGTCATCTTTATGGTCAATACACTATATGAACGAAATGGGAAGATGTAGCCAAAAAACATAAAATGAAATGCAATGGAGAAAAAAAACCTAAAGCGGCCTTTTAAGAAAACCCTTTTCGTTGTATTGCTGCGTTTTTATTTTCATTTCAAAGGTAATTTGTTGTTAAAGACACTTTCGGAACTGGTTAAAATACGGTTTGTGGTGCTTACCGGGCGCATACTCCAATGTCAAGTACAATTATGCACAATGGGAGAAAAATACTAGTTCCTAGAAAGATTTCGGTTTTCACGCCTTTTTAGTTTAGTTCAAGTTCAGTTCTAGTTCAGTTCTAGTTCAGTTCTAGTTCAGTTCTAGTTCAGTTCTAGTTCAGTTCTAGTTCAGTTCTAGTTCAGTTCTAGTTCAGTTCTAGTTCAGTTCTAGTTCAGTTCTAGTTCAGTTCTAGTTCAGTTCTAGTCAGTTCTAGTTCAGTTCTAGTTCAGTTCTAGTTCAGTTCTAGTTCAGTTCTAGTTCAGTTCTAGTTCAGTTCTAGTTCAGTTCTAGTTCAGTTATAGTTAAGTTCTAGTTCAGTACTAGTTCAGTTATAGTTAAGTTCTAGTTCAGTTCCAGTTCAGTTCTAGTTCAGTTCTAGTCAGTTAGTTCAGTTCTAGTTCAGTTCTAGTTCAGTTCTAGTTCAGTTCTAGTTCAGTTTCTAGTTCAGTTCTAGTTCAGTTCTAGTTCAGTTCTAGTTCAGTTCTAGTTCAGTTCTAGTTCAGTTCTAGTTCAGTTCTAGTTCAGTTCTAGTTCAGTTCTAGTTCAGTTCTAGTTCAGTTCTAGTTCAGTCTAGTTTCAGTTCTAGTTCAGTTCTAGTTCAGTTCTAGTTCAGTTTCTAGTTTCAGTTCTAGTTCAGTTCTAGTTCAGTTCTAGTTCAGTTCTAGTTCAGTTCTAGTTCAGTTCTAGTTCAGTTCTAGTTCAGGTTCTAGTTCAGTTCTAGTTCAGTTCTAGTTCAGTTCTAGTTCAGTTCTAGTTCAGTCTAGTTCAGTTTCTAGTTCAGTTCTAGTTCAGTTCTAGTTCAGTTCTAGTTCAGTTCTAGTTCAGTTCTAGTTCAGTTCTAGTTCAGTTCTAGTTCAGTTCTAGTTCAGTTCTAGTTCAGTTCTAGTTCAGTTCTAGTTCAGTTTCTAGTTCAGTTCTAGTTCAGTTCTAGTTCAGTTCAGTTCTAGTTCAGTTCTAGTTCAGTTCTAGTTCAGTTCTAGTTCAGTTTAGTTCAGTTCTAGTTCAGTTCTAGTTCAGTTCTAGTTCAGTTCTAGTTCAGTTCTAGTTCAGTTCTAGTTCAGTTCTAGTTCAGTTCTAGTTCAGTTCTAGTTCAGTTCTAGTTCAGTTCTAGTTCAGTTCTAGTTCAGTTCTAGTTCAGTTCTAGTTCAGTTCTAGTTCAGTTCTAGTTCAGTTCTAGTTCAGTTCTAGTTCAGTTCTAGTTCAGTTCTAGTTCAGTTCTAGTTCAGTTCTAGTTCAGTTCTAGTTCAGTTCTAGTTCAGTTCTAGTTCATTTCTAGTTCAGTTCTAGTTCTAATTCAGTTCTAGTTCTAATTCAGTTCTAGTTCAGTTCTAGTTCAGTTCTAGTTCAGTTCTAGTTCTAGTTCTAGTTCAGTTCTAGTTCAGTTCTAGTTCAGTTCTAGTTCAGTTCTAGTTCAGTTCTAGTTCAGTTCTAGTTAAGTTCTAGTTCAGTTCTAGTTCAGTTCTAGTCAGTTCTAGTTCAGTTCTAGTTCAGTTCTAGTTCAGTTCTAGTTCAGTTCTAGTTCAGTTCTAGTTAGTTCTAGTCAGTTCTAGTTCAGTTTAGTCAGTTCTAGTTCAGTTCTAGTTCAGTTCTAGTTCAGTTCTAGTTCAGTTCTAGTTCAGTTCTAGTTCAGTTCTAGTTCAGTTCTAGATTCAGTTCTAGTTCAGTTCTAGTTCAGTTCTAGTTTAGTTCTAGTTCAGTTCTAGTTTAGTTCTAGTTCAGTTCTAGTTCAGTTCTAGTTCAGTTATAGTTCCGTTCTAGTTCAGTTCTAGTTCAGTTCTAGTTCAGTTCTAGTTCAGTTCTAGTTCAGTTCTAGTTCAGTTCTAGTTCAGTTCTAGTTCAGTTCTAGTTCAGTTCTAGTTCAGTTCTAGTTCAGTTCTAGTTCAGTTCTAGTTCAGTTCTAGTCAGTTCTAGTTCAGTTCTAGTTCAGTTCTAGTAGTTCAGTTCTAGTTCAGTTCTAGTTCAGTCTAGTTTCAGTTCTAGTTCAGTTCTAGTTCAGTTCTAGTTCAGTTCTAGTTCAGTTCTAGTTCAGTTCTAGTTCAGTTCTAGTTCAGTTCTAGTTCAGTTCTAGTTCAGTTCTAGTTCAGTTCTAGTTCAGTTCTAGGTCAGTTCTAGTTCAGTTTCTAGTTCAGTTCTAGTTCAGTTCTAGTTCAGTTCTAGTTCAGTTCTAGTTCAGTTCTAGTTCAGTTCTAGTTCAGTTCTAGTTCAGTTCTAGTTCAGTTCTAGTTCAGTTCTAGTTCAGTTCTATTTCCGTTTAGTTAAGTTCTAGTTAAGTTCTAGTCCAGTTCTAGTTTCAATACCTCATTAGCTCCTGTCCCATAGTGCATTTGTTTGCGTGCAGTTCCCTCGTTCAGTTCTGGTTCAAATCTAGCTATTGAAATTAACTAGTTCAGTTCCAGTACATTTCAATATAGCAGCTCCTGTCTCCATAGTGCATTTGTTTGCCAATGTTACCCAAATTAAAATGCGTATGAACGCATAATTTGTTACTTTTCCTTTATATATTTTGCTGCATTGTGCTTTTTTTTCATTATATTTTTTATCTCCTTTCAAACTTGCATTAATTACCATTAATGTTTTGATGTAGACACCCTACTAAATCTTCAAGAGTGACCAAAATAATAACTTAAACATTTTTGTTTGGGAACACTAACAGCCAGGAAGCACAATCAACCATCCAAGCATCGTTCCAACATCATTTATCAACAATTATGTTTAAGAGTTAGTGATCAGCAGGATACAAACGAACAAGCAATTTAGGCGACTTGTTTGGAGTATAAATTTCATTTAATTTTTCTTTATTTTCAATTGACTTGGAAACCTTGACAGTAGTTTTTTTCTTTTGGATGAAATCGTTAAATTGACTGCCTCGTAATGTGATCGTCGTCATAATGATCATCATCATTTTCTATGGATGAGTGATCAACATTCTTAACAAGTTTGTTGAATTTTGATTTTATTTTTGTTTTAGTAAGAACTTTTGATTTTAATTGAAAGCCTCGGGTGTTGTGTTGCTGGTGATTTCAAAAATTAGTGCAACGGATTGATGGATGTATCCTCTGTTTTGAAAACTTTCAACTTTGCATGTCTAATGTCCTAATATTTTAAGTTAGTAAATTATTTTTATTTAAACACGTCAATTAATTATTAGTTATTGAAGTCTAAGGCAGGTGTGGGCCAACTGTGGTGCCTCGAAACTAAATATTATAACGCTTACTGTTCCTACATAAATCTACTTTTCCCATACCTGATTCTAATGTCCAGTTTTTCTTTTATTAAAATTTTACCAAAAAACTTTCAAAATAACTTCAAATTAATAAACTAGTTTGTTGCACGCAATTTCTAAACTATTTCTTAAAACTGTATTTTTTGCAACAATTTATTTCTTCATTTATCAATTAAGAGAGACTTCTCAAATCAGTCGCCGTCCATCAAAAATTCACTCACGCACGAGGAGTAAGAAAAAGTGTGCCTTCCTAGTATGTAATCCTGAAGAAAAAACAATTTTTTTTTTCTCTTACTCAATGTCTAATCACAGTGTTTGAAGGCAACTAATTTATTGCATGTTG